TATATAGCCGACCAGGTGGTGGTTGCGGGTTCGAATCCCGCTCAGGGGATGGATGTTTCTTTCTCTCTCTGTGTTCTATGTCCTTTCTTCTGTGTGATTGTGTGAATGCAACCCGCCCTATAAATGGGTTTGTGGTTGTATGACGTGGGTGACGCTACTCCACCTCCCTGGCTTTTCCACAGGTGCTCACTAGGTAACGATAAGAGAGTAGCAATTCTGGCATATGTATATATATATATATATATACACATACAGATAGAGAAATTATACATGTGTGTATAGTTTGTAGATATATACATAAGTGTGTGTTTGTCTATCTGTAGTAATATATAATACATTTTCTCTTAAGGTTTCAACAAGTATGCTTCCTCATGAAGAAAAAATGTCCATCCCTACTGATCTTACAGCAAAGAAATTTACGGTGTGGATTTTTCATACAGTTGAATTTGAGTGCTTCGTTAATCAGACAGCAATCGCATTGACTGCAGGAGTTCAGTCATCCTTTTTGGTTTCTTATTCTTTTGAACCACAAAATGTAAGTATCATAATCGGAAAATATTCGGATCTTCATTGCAAAACTTAACTAAAAAGAAAATAACACTTGAATAACGTTTGAAGGATAACATTTATTTCTAATGGTATCAGGAAGCGACACATAAAATATACTATATTTACTTATATTGTTCTTCTAATTCAATTCTCCCTGAGTTTCAGAACTTTTCTCTTGAAAACCAAAAAAAGACCATTCTACATTCCCCATCTGTTAGCCAATCAACATACACTATCTACATGATCTAACCAGCAATTTTATAATTTCTTCTGCAAACTCTTTCCAAATTTTTTAAAAATCAATCCTAATTGTAATTACCAAATCTACTGTAACCACTGGTAAATAAGGCATAACTGATTTGTTTTTTTATTTGAAAGAGTTTTTAAACAGATATACCTACTGCTTTTTAACATATTCCTTTAAATAGCCTTTTCATCCCAAAATAAATTATTTATTCAATAAATGTACACAATATTCCAGGGCTCGAAAAAACTTAGAAATTTTACCCGTCCCCGAGGACGGCTTGACCAACAATGTACCCGTCCTCCTTTGAAACTTACCCGTAGCTTCTAAATAAATAAAAATATGATTTTCTCTTATTTATTACAAACATTTATATAAATTGCACAATGAATTAGTAGTCACTAGGATTACAAATACTAGGATTACATTATACAGTAACAAAAGAAATACTAGGTTACTTATAGTAACCTAGTATTTCTTTCATGAAATTATTTCTTTCTTTTATAAAATAATTTAAATGAATCAAATATAACGTTTGCCAGTTCCACAATCAAGCCAATGATTTACAAAGGTTTCTGCACAGAGATCTGAATGAGGTTTTCCATTTAGGTAGATGTTCATAGTTGCGTTTAACGCTTCTTGTTTAAGACCAGTACGCAATGTGCTTTTTTTTTTGTAAGTTTATTGCTGAAAAGCCCTTTTCAACCGCTGCAGTACTCCCAGACAGAGAAAACATCAATTCCACCGTGCTCAGTATGTTGCTGTATTTCTAGATTAGAGGGTCATTTTAGAAGTGAGGCGCTAGACTCTTGTAAGATAACAAAAATTGAAAATGTACCACGAACATTAACGGGAAAATGTCGTCCGCGCGGACGTCGGATTCGAGAAATTCGTTGTCCGCGGGGAATTTTTGACCGCCGAGGACGGGCGGTTTTTCGAGCCCTGCAATATTCTGCAGTATCGAATAGAATTTCTTGATACAGATATGGGAAAACTAAGTCTTGAGTTTTGATTTCGTAATTTAAAATATTATCTGCGCAGTTATGTAAGTTATTTAGTGCAGCCATTGAAAGGTAAAAATTTGATCATGAAGTCAAAAGTTAATTAGCATGTAATGGCTTTTTTCCGATTTTTTTTTTACACATTGTACAGCAGTATTTAGACTTTGGTTTTAGCGGTCCTGATGAGTGAACCAACACCTTTTCAAATTCAAATTGCATTTTGAAACTTCTTTCTGAGTGACATCTTAAAAACTTTTGAAAGAGAAAGTGGCTGCAAATTACAATTATAAATTATTATAAATTTAAAAGTATGTAACATTGAAAAACATTATTGTAAATTGTAAGAAAATTATTAAATTAATACTATTGTAATAAAAGATTTTCTTTTAAAAAAGATAAAAAGTCATAAATTGCACCAATTTTAAAATGTATCACACTTGAATGTACTAATGAGTTCTGCAATTAAACCGATTTGTGCATGCCGAAGACGATCATATTGTTTGCAACTCTCTAAAAACGGCCCAGCTGTACACGATCCTGTAGTAAAAATGAATCATATTGCATCAGGAGTTTACATGCTTGCAAGAAACTGTGGATAAATTTATTATCTTGTCATTATTTTATTTTAATTGATGCAGGATACAGTGGAATGTAGATTGAAGGATATTCCTGAAGGCTCTTACTTGGTTCACGTTCAGGTGACCACTGAAGGAGGGGAATCTTTCAATAACAAAGTCTGGTTTCAAGATACAACACCATCTGATTCAGAAGAACAAGTAAGAAAATATGCCTTGCATGTGCAGTATTTATTAACGATAAAAATAAACAGAAATCGGTAAAACCTAAGTAGATTAGTTTTTTTTAAAAAAAGTTGCCTTAGCACCTGTTGATCACAGTTTTGGTTGCATTCTGGTAGATTTTCGCTTCCCTTAAACTTGCCCAAAAAAACTTTCTGGGAAAAGGTAACATTTTTAGTTTATTTGCTAAAAGAGGGCGCTAATCGTTTAAAATTATAGTTTTTGGAAAAATCAAAACTTATCAAACTTTATATAAAAATTATATTTTCTGAAAAAACTTGTTAAGTTGTAGTTTTTCGACTTAGTTAATTTGAGTGAAACCATTGCCAAATGTAGCACGTGTTTCGAAGCTAAGTAAAGAAAAGTAAAAAAAAAAAAAAAAAAATCGCGACANTACGTAAAAAATTTTAGTTTTAAGACAAAAATTAGACGGTGATAAAACTTCAACAATAAGTATTATAAAAAGTGAATAATGAATGAAAACGGATGATGAATAAAATCAGGATAATAAAGTAAATAAATAAAATTACACCAGTGACAATAAATCGCTCACATGAACATTGGAATTTAAACAATTGTTTTTGACGATTTTCTAAATAATTATGGTGCTGTATAATTTCAATTAGATCGTTCTTTTCGTCAAATTCATATAAAAAATTTGCACGAGGTAAAAGGTTTTTGATAGAGGTGATTTCGATATTCATTCCTTTTGGTTCATTAATTTCGGTAAAAATTTATTCGTCTATTTCTGTAAATCTTATTTTATAGGAAAAAAAGTATCTACAATTTTTTTAATTAAATATGTTACAAAAATCTAATTTTTCATTATTTTAAAATTATTTTTTAATTTTTAAAAAATTTTTTTAAAAAAAACAATAACTTGCAGAAAAATCGAGTTTAGCTGGTCAGATCAAAATTCTCAAATATAAAACATTACATCCAAAATTTGTATTGAAATTTGTGTTATTATAGAGAAAGGTCTTATTTATTGCATGTGGGAGAAATGATTAAAAATCATAACATAGTAAAAATTATTAATTCATGAACATAAATCATTTGTTTTGTGCAAAACCGCATTTTTCATTGTAAAAAAAATTATAATTACAAACGTAAATGTCTTTTCTGAAGCTCATTTCTCTTTTGGCATTAGCAAGCAATTAGAAATCTAAAAACAGCTCAAAAATAGATTATAGATAATTTTAATGACTTCCGGATAACATTTAAAAACAGCTTGTATTTATCATTTCTTTCTGAATAGTAATTTAAGAAATATAAAAATAATTCCTCGAAAACTATAGTAATAAAGATAAACTTAACTACTTTTTTATCAAGTCATGCAAATGAGGAAAGATAATACATTTCTAAATTCTGACACAAAATGAATAGTTAGTGGAAAATGTTAAACGTTCCTATTTTAAAGACTGTACTAGATGAATCAAATAAATGAAAATAAATATGACAGAAAAACATAATTGAATATGTAAATTATAATTAAAAAAAAGATGCACAAAAATATTGCTTTAAAAATATCTGATTGTATGTAATATCTGACTAGTTTCTACAACTTTTGTTCCTGAAATATTAATATAAAATTTTAAGAAACTAGTTTGTTTTATTATGCGCAAAAACATATAAACTTAGCAAAAAAAATATTTATATTAGTCTTAATTTTTTAAATTGCCATTTTTAGATAAAAATAACGAATTTTTTTTTACATATACTTTAAACACTGTAAAAAAATTCTATTGCCTAAAACAAAAAATTCTTTGTAGTAACACTTATCGTAATAAGTACTACTGAGTTAAGGATAATTATAGTTAAAAAAGGGTATTTTTAAAAATTTCTGCACTTGCCATTGGAAAAAAACATGCATAAAAAATAAAATTCTACTTTTTTCTCTTAGCCGGTAGTACAAAATTTGTGTACTATAATCATAAGCACTCATGGAAAATTGTAGACAAATATTTTAAATACAACTTGAGAAATCATGTTTAAAGGTAATGTAAAATGTGAAAATATCTGATTTTGAGATAAACGCATTTAAACATTTGAAATCCACTGTTATTATTTTGCACAAAAATTGCTATAACTATATTAACTATATATATTAACTATATTAACTATATATTAACTATTCTATATATTAACTGTACTATATATTAACTATACTATATATTAACTATATAACTATATTAACTATATAACTAACTGCTATATTGCTATTAAATAATTAGAGTATAAACAAAAGTAAAGTAGTATTTTTAGAAAGCTAAGAGTACAAAGGATCTTAAATTTATAATTTAACTCAATTTTAAAAATTTTGCCCAAAATCATGTATTTGCACCTTAAAGTAGTGATTACTTATAACAATTTATTCATTTTAATTGCTTAAAAAATATTGCAAAAGGATAATTGACAAAAACAGCTACTACTTTTATCATTAAACATTAATTTATCATATCTGGCAAACATAATCAGTGGTGATATACTGCATCGTAGAATTGATGTGACTCAATTACTATAGTTCAAACTTGAAACCTTCTACCTTAGCTCATAAATAGTGAGGTATTAGTTATATGTCAGCCGAAAGGGTAATAGGACCTAAACGAATAATTTCAAAGATAATTGCAAACTACAGGTGGTTATCAAAATAATGGAAACACCCTAGATTTTGAAGGAATCCTTTATTAATATGGTACCGTAAATGTACTCTTTATGTAGGTATCTCCTAACTGTAATTGTTGACACTGGAGAATCCAGATGCTGATTGAGCTCTGCCTGCAGTTGCTTTCTTTTTAGACATTACAATCCGCTTCAATACCCGTCGGTCTCTTTCACTCAGCTTCTCCTTCCGTCCACTATTTTGCTTTGCTGAGCTTGTCTTTCCGCGCTGTGTGTATGCTGTCATGACTTTAGAAGCCGTACCTCTAGAAACGCCTAAAAGCTGGGATGTTTCGGTCACTGTTGCTCCAACTAGTCGGGCTCCTACAATTCGGCCTCTCTGAAAATCTGTGAGGTCTGACATTTTACGCTTCTGACAAAAAATCAAAACGTAGACAACTCTGCTAAAGCTCTCTCATACCACCTAATATATGTACTTTTTATATTTAAAAAAAACGGGTAGCTAAGATATATATTTTAATGCTTATGAAGCGAATTATTAAATGTCCCTTTTATTCACAAGTGTTTCCATTATTTTGATAATCACCTTTATATGCGTTTGACAAGGATTCTAAGGATATATAATTGTAAAAGTGGTAATTATACAATAGAGCACCTTGCATATGTTTTAAGCATAGAAAAACCTGGATTTACTTGATTTCATACACTTAGCTAACTTTCATAGGTGCTGAATATTTTATGTAAAAATGGTTGAGCAATTATTGATGAAAATGCCTTGAAACTCGTATACATTTTTTCTTAAAAAAGCAACCATAAAAAATGAAAGGTAAAAACGGTTGAATATTACTTTAAATATTGAATTCTTGCTAAAGTAATTCCAACTTCCGAAATAGTTGCGCAACAATATGATTGGGTAGTGGTGCCAGCTTGTTTATATGTGTTACAATAGGGTTGTTGCAAGTTTGCTTCGGGAAGAGAATCGAAATTAGTACAAGATTTATAAGTTTCGCCGGTTTTATAAATTTTAAATTTTTATAATTATCAAGTGTTAAACATA